GGAAAGGTTGGCTTGAAGCGTGTGTCCTTCTTCGCTTGGAGTGAGTTGAACCAAGCGGGGCCGTTCGACCCGTCTCTTAGAAACAGAAGACGAACCCTCGTCGACTTCTCCTTTGTTGGGAAGGCTATTTTTGAAAGTAGCGTTGAGCCACAACTGGAGTAGCCAGAAGGGACCTGACATTAGCAGGTTGCCATGACTTTCTGGGTCCTTCAGCTTACCAGCACCTTCGCCCAAGGCTTCATAGAGACTGGCCAGAATCATCTCACTCAAGCAAATGTCTCTTTTCAGGTGTAGCTGGTTCGCCAAAACAAGATATTTACGTGCCACCTGCAAAGATTTAGTATAGATTACGCAGCGAGACAACCACATGGCCAAGAAGGCTATATGTTCCTCATCTTCGACAGAAGTAGTGTTTTTATTGTGATAATGTTGGACGAAGACCATGTAGGTATGCTTTGTAGTTTCAAATCCTATAGTATCTTGACTATCAATTTCAGGGTCATAAACTAGTCCATGGGGTTTTAGTCCTACGATGGCGGTTATATCAAACAGTGTGGGTGTCATCATCCCACACGGAAGGTGGAAAGTGTGATGGGTGTTGTTCCAGAAATACAAAGAGGAAGCCAGCATAAGGGGACAATAATTGGGGCTGACCTTCGACATCATTATGAGGTCATAGATACCAGTTTCTTTCCAGTCTTGGGCTTTCACTTTTTCCAGTTTTTCCAACCAGTTGAGGTAAAGTTCGGAGTCCTTGAAATAAGGGGTGGCTCTAAACAACCTAGCTCCGTCATGGAGATACCTAAGGTCTACGTCGAAGGAAGCTAGACTATCAGGACCATCAGCGGGAACCCTGCAAGAATCCTTTTGCCCTAAGGGTTTGGTTAGTCTGTAAGAAGGGAAGAAGTCGCGGATACTGGAATAATCAAGACTTAAATGAGGCAATGGACCAGACATTGCTAAGGGTTTACCTGCAACATTAACAGGTATGATTATCTGTGATTCATAGATATGGCGCTTTTCCTCCAACAGGGGTTCACGAATAAATTGTTGATTCTTCACTACTTTAGGACCGCTCAAGGTGGCAAAAGAAGGGAGAACCGATGTGGAAGATGGTCCTTTGGGTTGTGTCTTTTTCTTCTGGTGCTTAGCCATTGTTGAAGTCAGAAGTGTTCTTAGGAGAAAAAGGATATTTGAAAAAGCGCAAGAGTTTTTTCTGGGAGTTGAAAATGTTAAAATAATACCTGAGCAAATTATTTATATGGAGTATTGAAAATCAAGAGTTTTTTTTATCATAAGTGGCTAGAGTTAGTGGGCCACATGTGTGTCCTAAGGTGGAGAAACAGGGGTGGCAGTTATAACCTATACCCCCTAGGCTCTAAAAGAATGATGATGGTCTGCGATTTTGGTGATTCCCGAGAAACCCGCCATGATGACCATGACGTCAGGAACGTGCTCCAAGATGACGAAGCAGTTTCTTGCGTGCTCCTTTCTGTTTTCTTCTTTCTTCTCTTTCCTCCCCTTTCATCTTCCCAGACATTAGTTGGCCAAAGTATATTATTTGACACGTGTAAGTTGAAGTAAACGGCGTCGAATTGGATGCTGTCAAAAAAATGTATTTTTCTACGTAGGGGTCGAAAAGACATTTTTTGGGGGGAAATTTGTTAGCTCCTAAATTCGACACCCCTTGCAAGTTAAGACATTTATGAGAAAGTATTAGAATCTTGCTGGAGGTGAAAGTTGATCGAAAAGTATAAGACCTTTGAGGAAGAGGAGTCGAAACACTTGTAAGACTTAAGGAAAATCATGAAGGCTTCGATCGTGACGCTGCTTGGTAGTTATCCTAAAGATTTGAAATTCAAAATAATTGGAGGGAGTGGTTTCGTTCGCTGGATGATTAAGAGGACATGTGGCGCCCTATGGGCGACGGACCCATGCATCACGACAAGTGGCGAAAGATGATGATATAGGAAGTTATTGGTAGTTATTTTTTACTATTATAAATAAGAAGTCTTAGACATAGAATCAGGGTGTTGTAATTTACTGTTGTACAAGTCACTCTTAAAATTACTCCAAGTATCTGAGTGTAGAGAAAGAGAGTATCAAAGAGAATGTACGTGATGTATGCACACCATCCTTTACTTTCCAATGAAGTTTATTTTATTTGTTTAAACTTTACAAATCTTTCTTTACCTTTCTTGCAATCTTCCCCCTCTCTATGCATTTTATTTCGTCTTCATTCTCAACCTTTTTTCTAAAGCTTTTATCTTTCCTTACTGAAAATTTTTTCTCTTATAGTCGAATAGATACTTTTTAGAATCTTTCACTCCAATATTGTCAAAGTGTGAAACTTAGATAGATTTCCAAAGAAAGCCTTTTTAGCACATGTCCTAGGATCAATCTGATCGATCCTGTGAGTCACCAAAGTTAGATTTGGAAGATCAACGGTTGTTTTCCAATTTTCAAGGGAAACACAGACAAGCTAACGTTTAGCAATTAGAATGCGATCTAAACACTCGTTCGTTTACAAACCAACCAACCGTAGTCGTCTGAACTACGGACGCTCCGATTTCTCATTTGTCAATGAGAATACGTAGGCATAGGATTGCGAGATCCTAGCGAGCTACCTTTTTTCTTTTTTCACAATTCCCTCCATCTTTCGCTTTCCCCCAATCCTTAGCGAGCACCCTAATGTAAAACCACTCATTTTCCCCTTAGAAGTAAATCCTTTAGAAGATAAACAAGCGTAGCTAATTTCTCTCACGAATCGAATCAAGAGGTTTCCGTTGAGTACAACGGACGTAGAGGATGCTAATACCTTCCCTCTAGCGTAATCGGCTCTCGAACCTAGAATTTGGTTGCGACGACCATGTTCTTATCTCTTTAAAGGTTTTATCGATATTTTCCTATTCCTTCCTTTGAATGAATAAAGTTCAGTGGCGACTCTGTTCGAACGTTTTTTCCGCGTCCATCGCGGGGATCGTATTTTTCAAGGTATGACAATATGCCTGCAAGATATAATACAATTAATCGTACAATGAGTTTATGAAATAAGAAAAATTATAAATAAATAAATAAAACAGACTGAGAAATTCTGGAGATACATCTCCAAAAACATTCAATGTTTCATGTATTCTGGGTGATTCCGAAGATACAACTACGAAAACATTCCGCATATGTATCTTCGGAATCACCCAGAATACATGAAACATTGAATGTTTCCAGAGATGTATCTCTGGAATATTCTGCAACTCAGAGGTTGTGTCAATGGCGTCCTCTGCCCTTCAGAATCACAAATTTGAAGCCCTGGTCGTCCATTTGAGCCAACAAACAATACATGCAGTTACTCTAAACTATGTTTCATCTAATTTCTAAACATTTTGATATCTAATAATGGATTCTAACTCGTTTACAACAAAACTCGAGTATGTATCGGAAACTCAAAAAACTTACCCGGATTATATGATTCGGAAGATGTTGAATGACGCACTGGATGCAGCTTGATGAACACTTGATCCCCGGACGGAAGAAATCAAATTTGGTGAAGTTTGATAAATTTGGGAATGAGAGAGATGAAGAGGTTTGTGAATAGAAATGAAAAAGTGTGGGAGGAGAAGAGTCTGGCATGATAATATGCTCAAAATTGTTCCGGAGATATATCTCCGGAATATTTCAACGTTCAATTGATCTTTGGTGTGTTCGGAGATATCTCCAAAATATCTTAACGTTTAGTTAAAATAAAGTGCGTTCAGAGATATATCTCCGAAAACTATGGGCATTATAAGAAATCCGCGTGGTATCTAAAAAACATATAGGGTGCTTTAAGAAATTCTTTAAAAATAATCATGTAGTAGGGGGCCTAAAAAAACAGGATCAAGTAGGAGGCCTATTTATTGAGGCTGTCATTTAGAACTTTTTCGACACCTATACTCCTATACTTGTGCAGCAAAACTATATTTGGAGTTATTCCCATGCTTGAAGCTATTATATTTAGAGGTGTTCGCAATGCGATTTTGACGATATAAATCAACCAAACCGCAAGAGAAAAAAAACATGCGATTCGATTTGATTTTAGAAATAAAATTGAACCAAATCAAAGCAAAGCATAATTATAAGAAAAAACAATAACATAAAAATGAGAAGATGAAAAAGAAAGAACATAAAAAAAAAGAAGATATTAGAGTAGAAAATGCGAGACGTAAATAGCAAAGAAAAAGAGAAGAATATGTGATACTGAGTTTGAATTTTGAATTAGATGTTGATAAGTGAAATTTGAATTGTAACATATAATACGATTTAATTTGATTTAATTCAGTTTGCAAAATACAAACCACAAACTAAATCAAACTGCGCGATTTTATTAAAAATAACCAAAACACACCCAAACCAAACACAATTTTTTACAGTTTCGGTTTAATTTAATTTGCAATTTTTTATTAGATTAATTCAATTTTGAACACCACTAATTATCCTTTTGTCTTCTGAACTGCATTGTATTCCATTTGGAGGAATTTCATTATATATACAGCTATATTTAAAGCTATTATAGTGAAAAAAGGTAATTTCACTTTTTGGCGTCCATTCAAAATAATAATAGTTCCAAGCACACATGAAGCTAATTCCCCTAAAAAATTTACTGCACCATACCAATTACCAATTGCAATGAGTACAACTAACACAAGTTGATGTAAAGTGAAAAACACCTCATTATCAAAAACAAAAAAGAAAATTTATTACCATAGAAAGATAAATATATCGAGACTAAGGTGTTAGTTACAAAGTAATAATAATACAAGGAAAATCCTCATCCTGGGTCAAAGACAGTTGTGTGCACACTTTTGGTAGAAATTTTTAACAAAGATATAATTATCCAAAGTATATCCCAAGTTCTTCCCTTTATGTAACCTTGGTAACATTTTTTGTGACAAGAACCTTGTAACATCCTCGACAAGATATGACCCAGAAAGCTGACTAATACAAAACAAGCATATCCAAGTGCTTTATTCTGATTGAGGAGGCCTATAATCAAGCATCTCCTTGATATTTAACCTAACAGAAGGCCCCATTGCTGAGCATATGTGTGCACTTTTCCAGTACATACCTTTCGCGCCCGAAGGTTTGTTTGAGTCTACTGACTTCTGCAAAATTAGAATGATGGGTTAGAAGTTTAGCAATGAGTGAAATACAAATAGAATTTCTGTTTGGGGAGAACATACTATAGCAGAGAGCAAGTTTGTAAGAAGATCCTCTTCTGGAAAATTGGCTTTTCCAAAAGGCAAGTGCACGATTCCTGATTTATCTGCCCTGTATTCAACTTTTCCCTGTTTGAATTCTGCTATAGCCTGTAAAGATGAATTTATTTAAGAACAAAAAACTTCGATTTTAGAATTGTGCAATCATGGTTAGTTTATATGTATTTTGCATCGCAAGAAAAGGTTCTGTGTGTGTATGCACCCAGTTAAAGTGAACTGAGAAAGAAAAATACTAAAAGTAGATAATACTGCACCTGAGGAATATTAGCCGTTACAGTGCCAGCTTTAGGATTTGGCATGAGTCCTCTTGGCCCCAGAATCTTTCCTAGGCTAGCAACCTGACACAGTCAGCGATGGCAACTAAATGAGTTTCCATCATAATCATAAATACTCATGACCCATAATAGATCCCTGGATCAGAACCAAGCTCGGAACTAACTTCAATAGTTTAGAACGATCAACTTGCATTACACAGATAATCTCTTAAAATAAGGAAAATAATAATCTAAGGAACCTGTATCAAATATTAAATAGAAAGTAATTCTAATTACGACAATAATCAACAGAGCTTTTCAATACTAACAGAAAACCATACGGCGTGCTACTAACAATTGATTTGCATTTAAGATTATCAAATGATGAACTCTTTGAAAGATCAGGCATGAAACAGGGATATAAGGATGACTTGGTGTCTGAAGTGGGGGAATTTAAGAGTGGAGTGATAAGGAGGTTGAGGGTTTTGATCCTTAGTCCTAGCATGAAACAAACAATTACTAACAATACTAACATCAACTGTTTCAAAAGGAAAATAGAAAAGAAAAATCGAGCTTGAACCTGAGCATAGCATCTAACATGGTGTTGGTATAGTTATAGATTTCAGCTATAAAGGTTGTGCAAGCTTGCATTAATGACACATTCAAAGAATCTGACTTGAAAGAACATGGATCTCTAGACTAATTGAAATTAAATTTACCAATCACTTGAAAAAATTATCCTCAGTACACATTAGGAGAAAATGATAATGCAAATGGTTTAGTTTAATCAGATATTAAAATTTTGAATCATTTATTGATATTAAACCATTGTTTCAATTATTAAAATTATAATAATTAAAAAAAATGAAGAGAAAATAAAAATTCAAATCAGAACATGATAATGAGCAACACCTTAGACATCATATCTGGAGAAGCAATTAACTTATCAAATTCCATGAATCCTCCTTTTATCTGTTCTATCAGATCCTCTCCACCTACCAAATCAGCTCCTGCATTTTTTGCTTCATCGAATCTTTCACCTATCAAAGTGTACTATAAATTAGAATAGCCAATGCAACAATTAACATATTGTGTATTATAACTGGCATTCAGTTGGTTGTGCATAAACTCTAAATCATTGGAAAACTAGTTTGTTTTTTTTGTGCAATCTTATTCCTATTAGAAAACTGTCAAGAACCCAGTATGCTCATTAACAAGTTATTGGGGTGAAAACTGAATCCACTTGTGCCTAGGTGATATTCCTCTTTTTTGTGTCAAAAAAAATAGGAATATCAGCGTTCAATTTAATCAGCATAAATACTTGTCATTTCATAACTTATCACTTTGCAGGCGTAGCCTAGCCTTCCATAAAGATGTTAGATTCACATTTGAAATAATATTTAACTAGAAAGAAAAAATGGAAGTATAAATATCCTCGAAACAGAAGCATTAAAAGAACAGGGAAAGGGGATTAAATAAATAAGAGCTAGACTGCCCAGTTCCCAACATATAAGGATGGGAAATTCCCTTGAAACAGCTATGTGCAGAGTACCCTACAAAAGCCATAAATAGCATTCCAATTCCATTACAGATTAACGAAGAGAGCAAGATAAGCTTCGCCCCCATAATAATTTGCCTCCTCATTCTACCTATGTTCTTTTGAAACAAACTATTAGATATGTAAATATAGAAAGATTATTATTAGTATTGATTACAAATGATTATTAGAAACATAATCACATAATTGTATTGTGTATATAAATGACTAACAGATCAATGAAAAGGCACGACCTAAATTCTCTTATATGGTATCACGCTTGGTTTGTTCCCAAACCCTAAAACCAGACGTCAACCTTCTTTACCCACTACTGATTCCTCCAACAACAACTCTTCCTCACACTCCACCGGTCATACTGACCCTCCTCCTCCACCTCCCACTCCTACGCCGACTCACTCTGCTCTCACTGTCTCAAATATCACTAATTTCATTAAGATTACTCTGAGCATTGAAAAGGGCACGTATAACACGTGGTCAGAACTTTTCAAAATTCATGCTCAAGTTTTTCAAGTGATTGACCATATCATTCCCTCTGAACCAGCCGCAGATCCCTCTCTCAAAACTACTGATCCACATTTATGGCTTCGTCTCGACGCCGTCATTTTGCAGTGGATATATGGAACAATCTCCGATGACCTTCTCAACACTATCATCGAACATAATTCCACCGCTGAAATCGCGTGAAATCGCTTATTCGACATCTTTTATGATAACAAGAATTCTAGGACTCTCTACCTAGAGCAAGAATTTTTGCGAACTCATATGGAGCAATTCTCTGATGCTTCCTCCTACTATCAGCATCTCAAGTCTCTCTCTGATCAACTAGCTAATGTTGGTGCTCCTGTATCAAATGAACGTTTAGTTCTTCAACTCATTTCGGGACTATCTGATGCATATGCTACTGTGGGATCCCAAATTCGTCATGCTGATTCACTTCCTCAGTTCTATAAAGCTCGTTCCATGATCGTTTTGGAAGAAACAGCACTGTAGAAAAAGGTGTCAAGCTCAGTCGAAAATTCATCTTTTATGGCGTCTCACAATGACGCAACAATTGGTTCATCGATATGACGTCCTAACCGCGGCAACGGAGACCACAATCGTGGTGGCTGAAGCAATGGTAGAGGACAGCGTGGACGAGGCCGAGGGCGAAACAACGAACGTGGCAGAGGTCGTGCTCCGCAACAGCAATGGCCTTCACCATATTACCCGCATCAACAGTGGGCTTATCCGCTGTACCCAAATCAATATCAACAGTGGAGCTCCCTGCCATGGCAACCATGGGCTACACCAGCTTGTCCATATCCAACAGCAAGAAAACCAAAGGAACAACCCGACATTTTTGGTCCCAAGCCATCTCACCAAGCTCATGTCGTCAATGCAGCGCCAACCTCCTCATATGCTCCAACGGATATTCAAACTGCCATGCATACTCTCTCACTTTCTACTCCTGATGATCAGTGGTACATGGACACCGGAGCAACCTCACATATAACGGTCAAAGGAGGTAATCTCACGTCCTACTTCAATATGAGTAATAATATTACTGTCGGTAGTGGTCAAAATATTCCTGTAATTGGTTGTGGACATGCATTATTACCAAATTCCCTTCATCCTCTAAAATTACCTAATGTTTTACATGCACCAAAACTCACATTGAAACACAATTTGAAAGAAAATTTAAATGTTTCCAATGTGACAACGGTAAAGAATATGATAACTCTGTTTCATAAATTTTGTAATAACAATGGAATGTCATTTAGATTTTAGTGTCCTCACACCTCACAAAATGGAAAAGCCGAAAGAAAAATTCATTCCATAAACATTATCTGTACCCTTCTTGCCCACGCCTCTTCTTTACCTTCATCAATGTGGCATCATGCACTACACATAGCCACTTACCTACATAATATCCTTCCAAATAAAAAGTTTTCCCTACAATCACCCACTAAAATACTCTACCAAAAAGATCCAGCCTATACTCACCTTCGTGTCTTTGGATGTCTTTGCTATTCTCTCATCCCTTCATCATATAGGAATAAGTTACAAGCTCGGTCCACACCTTGTGTCTTCTTAGGATATCCCTCAAATCATAGAGGATACAAATGCTATGATTTATCTAGCCGTAAAATATTTATTTCCCGGCATGTCATTTTTTATGAAACTAAGCTTCCATTTTCTAATCTAAATGTTCCTACAACAGTCGGCTATAATTTTTTGCATGACAACACACCCTTCTTTCCATCCTATTCCTATAGTGCTCCACCCTATAACCATCAAAATCATACTCCACCCCTAACTACACCAGTTCAAACAAACATTTACCAACCATCACCATCTTTTAATTCACCTCCGTCACCTTCCCACAATCACACCTCGCCAACCATAGCACCAGCCTCATCCACAACATCACCTTTAAACCCATCATTACCAACTATCGTCTCATCCCCATCCACTACATCAGTTCCGACTCCTCCACCTTCACAACAAAAACCACCTCTCTCCCCTCAAATGACAACCAGAGCCCAACACGATATTGTCAAACCTCGCAAACTCTTCAATCTCCATACCTGAACCTCAACATCCCCTCTACCTACAAATCCCATTGATGCATTAAATGATCAAAATTGGAAAACGAGCCATGAAAGACAAATATGATGCTCTTATTGAAAATAAGATGTGGGACTTAGTTCCTCGTCTGTCTAATGCTAATGTTATTCGGAGTTTGTGGATTTTCTGGCATAAAAAGAAATATAACAGATCCTTTGAGAGATACAAAGCTCGCCTTGTAGGTAATGGTGCAAATCAACAAACAGGTGTTGATTGTGGTGACACATTCAGCCCGGTGGTCAAACCGGCTACCATTCGAACAGTTCTAAGTGTTGCTTTATCTAAATCATGGTGTCTTCATCAATTAGATGTTAAAAATGCTTTCTTGCATGGAAATCTTCACGAAACAGTATACATGTATCAACCTTCTGGATTTCGTAATTCTCAATTTCCTGATCATGCTGTTTATTGAATAAATCTCTATATGGTCTCAAACAAGCACCTCGCGTCTGGTACCAGCGCTTTACTGATTATGTAGCTACAACGGGTTTCTCTCATAGTATTTCGGACCACTCTCTTTTTATATATCATCATGACAATGACATGGCTTATATTCTTCTGTATGTGGATGACATTATTCTTGTTGCATCATCTGACGCTCTTAGAGAATCTATTGTGGAACAACTGAGTTCCGAATTCTCCATGAAGGATCTGGAGCCTCTAAGTTATTTTCTGGATATTTATGTCACCCGACATCCCGAAGGTCTTTTTCTTTCTCAAAAGAAATATGTAGAAGAAATTATCGAACGAGTCGGTATGTCCTCCTACAAACCATCCTCCACACCAGTAGACACAAAGGCGAAACTTAGTGGTTCATCCGGTAACCCTTACCATAATCCAACCGAATATCGTAGCCTTGCCGGAGCATTGCAATACTTGACGTTCACTCGACCAGACATCGCATATGCAGTTCAGCAGGTGTGTTTATTTATGCATGACACCAGACATCGCATACTTGACCGTCGACAAGCTCATTTCTTACACAGACGCGGATTGGGCCGGTTGTCCAGACACTAGAAGATCTACCTCCGGCTACTGTGTTTATCTCGGTGACAACTTGATCTCATGGTCCGCAAAACGCCAACATACATTGTCTCGTTCAAGTGCCGAAGTCGAATACATAGGTGTAGCTAATGTTGTGTGAGAATCATGTTGGTTACGCAACTTACTCTTGGAACTATGTTGTCCTATCACAAAAGTTACTCTGGTATATTGTGACAACATCAGCGCAATTTATCTTTCTGACAATCCTGTTCAACATCAACGCACCAAACATATTGAAATGAATATACATTTCGTGCGTGAGAAAGTTGCTTGCGGTCAAGTATGCGTTCTTCACATTCCCTCGCGTTTTCAGATTGCTGACATCTTTACAAAGGGACTTCCGTTGCAGCTCTCTGATGACTTTCGTGATAGTCTCAACATTCGTTCTCCTCCAGTTTCGACTACGGGGGTGTATTAGATATGTAAATATAGAAAAATTATTATTAGTATTAATTACAAATGATTATTAGAATCATAACTACATAATCGTATTGCGTATATAAATGACTAACAGATCAATGAAAAGATCAATAAAAAGGCACGGCCTAAATTCTCTTACACAAACTGTTAGAAGTTACTCAAAAGTCAAGGTATGCACCCGAAGTTCATCAATGTGTACTAAACAAAGTCAACAATAGTTTAGTAACTTTAATTACGGTCTAGATGAAGGGAAAAAAATAGAGAAAAAGAACAGAGACAGAAAGAGAAAAATAAAATCAAATTAGGGATGCTAGATGAAGGGAAATAGATGAGAGGTTACCTAGGCTGTGGGATTTAGAGGTTACATAAGACCCCATCTCATCACCAACTCAGCATTATTTAATTTGTTGTGTTTTTAAAATGTTATATGCAGTTTACATGATATTTTTAATGTTATTATTAAGGAAAAAATGCATAATAAAACAATAACTTCTGCTATGTAATCCATAACCACCATCACTGGTATGCAAAAAGCCACTGTTATTGCAGTGGTAGCAAAATCACAACGGCGCACCCATTTTCTGCACGGTTGCTCTAAATCCTGATATGCAATAGCAATATAGCAGCGCTATACCATTATTTAAAAACACTGACTTTATAACAAAATAGATCGAACTTGGAGAATTATCCAAACCATCTTCCAATACAATTTTTAAATTCCCGCAAATTAGTTAGTCAATTGATAGCAAAAAATAGCTGATTGTTGAAATTCTGCTATGCAATAGTGCCATACTGCTACTATAGCAGCTGTTTGACAATATTTTGTACTAAGTAGCCTATCGCAGAACAATAGTGGGTTTGTCTAAATTCCACTATTCTATAGCGGTATAGCACGGCTATACTGGCTATTTAACAACACTGCCCCCAAATTAATGGGATTTTGTATATGAAGAAAAATAAACTCCCCAAAGCCCTCTCCTCCCAAAGTCTTCCATTTTTTCCACTTCATCCTTCCTTTTTTAAAAAGTCCTCCCCTCCCCTCCCCTCTTAAATTCCTAAACAGACCCTAAATTTCCAGAAATATGCAACTGAGAGCGGTTAATAATATTTTTCTTGTTTCTATTATGTAGGGTATAATAATCTTATATCTTAGTGAAAGTAGACCTCCCAGACACTATTTAAATGAAACAATTAATTCCAAATGGTATTACTTGACTCATGTAGACCAGCATTGCTTGTTGTTTCAATGGATTAGAATCAGCAATTCCAGCTACCACCATTTTTTTTCAGAGAACAATTTGTTTATAAATTAATATTTCTTTCAGAAGGAAAATAAGGAGACCTTTAGAAAGAAAAAAAATCTAGGATAGTATGTTGACAATTGCGGATCAGGAACTTTCAAGACTCGGAATGTTGAAAAAATATCTACCAATTTGGGATAAAAGACCTATCATCTTATATCTATCCATAAGGAAGATTTCGTAATGAAAACATTTCATTTCCTTTTGTACACATTCTCTTTAAAAGATAGTGTTTTTGCAGCATGATCAAGAACTTTCAAGTTTTAATAACTAAAAGTATCTTTGCTTTTGAAAAAAAAAAACTAAAGTCAAAAAGAGCGAACGTGGATTGCAAGCATACACACCTTGAGTAAGAACAGCCACTTTAATAGGGTTTCCAGTTCCCTTTGGCAGATTTACCTATTAAGAGAGAATGGATTAAAAACTTAGAATTAATTCATGTGTTGTAAATATGTAGCTCGGGTTTTTAATGTGCTTGTTTATACAAAATCAAGCAAAGAGCGGGAGACTCACTGTAGCTCTTAACTGTTGATCATTATATTTAGGGTCAATGTTGAGACGGAAATGGGCTTCTACTGTTTCTACAAACTTGGTTTTAGCTGTTTCTTTTACCAAAGAAATTGCTGTCTTCAAGTCGTACTCTTTCTTAAGCTCCCTCAATTTTTGAATTTCCAAGAATCTCTTAGATCTCACCTGGTGAAACATCGAAACAACAATTAACAATAAGAATGCAAGGATGACATTAAGATATACCAGTTATGCATACATCTATTAGTAGTCATTCACTACTTAAGAGGATGTGAAACAAAAGAAAAAGAAAATAAAAACAGCTCAATAACCCCCCACAAAGTTGCAGGAATGCATTGTCCAGTCATTTTTCACGATCTAATCTTAATGTATAACTATATTGTTTCTTGAAACTTGTTTGTAATGTGACAAGAGGTTATTACAAGATTGAATTCCTATGTAAAAGAGTGGTTATTTCCCTAGATAAGTGAAAAAAATAAAATAGATAATTGCCAAATGTAGTATTCATAATTTACTTTCATCTAAAAGAAAAGACTGGACCGTTATTGAGTTCAATGGCTGTAATAGAACATTTACGTGTGAACCTTTCCGAACATAATTTGCATTCCCTAACAGTCTAACACCGAAAACACAAACACAAGGTCTGACATAAGTGGTTAATATGCTTCATCTAAAAGAATCGATTTCGGAATTAAGCCCGATGCCTGCTGTGATAAAACAATTTGTGGCCAGACATAATAATGCCTTAACTTAACAATTACGCGCAAAGTAATAGCATAAGAAGCACATTTGTGTCCCTTTATAAAAAGGGCAATAATATTAATCCTAAGGGTTACATATGTTTTCAGTCGTAAATTAACATTTTTTGTTTTAAGTCCTACAATTTCAAAGCTATATGTTTATAGTCCTAAAAGAGTGATTAAAAGTGTACAATTATGCAATTTGTAAGAATGAAAACTGGTTACATTACAGGACTAAAACAAAACAAAAAATGATATAATTATAAGGCATATTTAACCTCAGTAATAACAGTAATCAACAAAACAATTAGATTAACAAAGAAAATGAAAAGAATTTGAAATACCCTATCACTCTTAAGTGCCAATGCAGCTTTCCCTGTCTTAGGTTTAGTGGAGACAATAACAGTGTTAGTAGGAACATCAGATTCATTCCCCTCACCACCGTCTTTCTCCTCTTCATCAACAGTTTCAGCGACATTAGCAGCAAGTGCAGAAACAAATGAATTCGAAAACCTAGATTGGTAGGTTAGATGAAAACAGTTAGCGGGTTTGAAAACGAGGGGAGAGAGAAAGAAGGTTCTGGAAAGAGGAAAAGAACGGTGGGAAGGAGAGAGTTCTTGTGAATTGATGGTGATGGAGGAGGTTGCGTGGGTTGAAAAGATTAGAGATGATGAAGGTGGTGTGGTTGTGCATAAAGCCATGGTGGTTGTGAAGTTGGGAAAGGGAGTGTGGTGGTGAAAGGAGGACATTGGGTAGTTTTATCTATTTGGCGGATAATGAATAATGAGGAGATAAGAATGTGATGTGGTCTATCGTATAATAACTAACGGGTGGATTTGTTTTATTTTGTTGTGGTGCTCATCGTGTGAGATGTTGTTATTAGTTACATTCATGAATGTATTTAAATTATTAATGGTTAAATATTGTTTATCAACACTTTTTTTTTTGTTTTTTTATGAATTAAATTAATAACAAAAATATATTTGAAATTTTAAATGACTGTTTAAAGAAATAATTGAATATTTATTTGCAATTTTATTAAATTTAAAAATTATAATGATATATAATCTCACATATTCAAAATCAAAATAATAGTTTGTTATTTTCTATTTTTTCATTGTGTGAAATTATGATTTTTTTTTAAATAGCCATATTTTCCAACAAAATTTTTTAAATAATTATTTTTTCTTATTAATTTCCAAACTATTCATGTTTTCTCACTAAAAACAGAATATTATAAAAGGGGCAAAGCAAAGACCCATCAAAAAGAAAACAAATTTAAATAAAGGCAATCGTAGTCTATTATTAACGAATTCTTTCCTAATACCAATACGAAGAGAATAAAAAATGGTTAGAGAACTAGAAGTGAGACATATGTTTAAAAAAAAAGTCAAAACATAAATTTTATTATTATATATGTGTGTGTGTAAGTTTGTGTGTGTATGAGAGAGAGAGAGAGAGAGAGAGAGAGAGAGAGAGAGAGAGAGAGAGAGAGAGAGAGAGAGAGAGAGAGAGAGAGAGAGAGAGAGAGAGAGAGAGAGAGAGAGAGAGAGAGAGAGAGAGAGAGAGAGAGAGAGAGAGAGAGAGAGAGAGAGAGAGAGAGAGAGAGAGAGAGATGAAGCGATATCTTTGTGCAAAATAATTCGAGCAAAATATCAAATTGTTACAAACTTGTTAAGCTAACAAAGGAGGCTTATGGAAAGCTTGAACAGCAACAAAAGAATCGGTACAATCCAAAGTTTTGACCAACCTTTATCCATGGCTATCTCCATTACACAAATCAATGCAAAGAATTTTGCAAGGTATAAATAAGAAGGACCAAACTACCTTATCAGCAAAAGCAAGGATGAAACTCATGTGGTTGTTTCTAAAGATGTCACTGCAACCTGCAAGAAAGAGGTTATGATTATAAGTGTCACCATTTAATCCACTCGAGAGGTTGCCAAAGAACTTCCAATATATTTGGAATTTTATGAGGCTTGATTTGAATGTTGCAGGCTTTAATAATTTTGAAGTCCCCAATGAAAACAAAAGAGGACGAGGAGGTCTTGGCACATGTTAACAACATTTGGTCCATGTTTCTAAATCTTTCCCAATTTTTGGATTGCCACAAGTTAAATATGATGTAGATAATTGCAGACTTGAGGACAACAAAAACATTGCTTCGATTTGTTATTTATACAAAAAGTCCACCAATCATCAAGAGTGGTATGAGGTTGAATAATGTTGATTGCTTTATAGAACGATATCCACACCTTCTTAGGGAAAGAACAATAAAAAAACAAATGTTGCGAAATTTCCCCAGCCTGAAGACAAAGACTGCATTTGGAAGCCATTAGGCAACCTCTAAGCCTCAACTTATCATCTATAGAGATATTGTTCGTCATTAGATTCCAGATCAACGTTGTTTTTAGCTAGGGGATATCATTGGACCAAATTATCTCAGCACAACTTTTAGTCAAAGAAGGAGATTTGAATAGGCAAGCATCCTTTAGAGTCAAAGATCTTGAAAGAGCAAGAGGCCAAATTACAATGTCTTCGTAATTAATATTGTGTTAAATATTTTGATGGATCTTATGATGAAGCAAAGGAAAAAGGTCGTGTCATCTCCTAGGAAGAGCCCAAAGTTCATTAGAGATGAAGTCTGAAACTTTAGTCTGAATTGAAATGTTATGGTTGTTGAGGAACTCCAAAGTGGTTTCATGGATGAGAGAGAGCCCACACTAAGCATCCTGCCAGACGTTGATGGATGTTCCTTTACTAAGGGACCAATTGGAGATATTCTTTAGGGTGCACATCTCAAACTTGATGTTGGACCATATGAAAGAATAAATGTAATGTTTGTTGTGCCAAAAAACTTGAAATCATGTCTTTGAGGATTGATGCCCAATATTTTTTGTTGACTAAAAGGTCTCAAGCCAATTTCAAATTGGATACTTCATTCAACTTCAACAGAGATCTCAACCTTAAACCATCATGGGCTTGAGGGACGTGCATTTTGTTCCAAGCAACCATGACCAATTTTGTTTTGTTGATTGTGCCACTCCATACGAAATTCCTATTAGCTTTCTCTATGCCTTTAAGCAAAGAGACAGGCCAGGAGTAACATGAAAAGGTGTGGTTGAGCATGCCTTGAATAATGGATTTAACTAGCAGGACTCTGCCTGCCATTGAGAGATATGTGTCGCTTGCGCGAAAATAAGGTGTCGGCATGACAGAAGAATCGCCACCTTTCGTTATTTATCCCTCAGAGCGGGAAAGGAAACGATCGGAAAAACCTGACGAAAAAGAGTAAGACAAGGTCATCGCAACCATTGTCTGGGTTCGGGAGTCGGTTACGCGAGGGGAAGGTATTAGCACCCCTCACGTCCGTCGTACTCGACGGGATCCTCGCTTGTTTGTTTACTTGGACGGGTTGGTTATAATCTATCTACCTATCAAGGCTGGCTGGAAAAAAAAAAGAAGATGACTCGGCAAAGCATCGCGCTTTATGCCTACGTATTCCCGTCTGGAACGAGAAATCAGAGTCAACGTAGTTCGGCTAACTACGGGTGAAGGTTGCTCGCTAGGACGTCGCATCCTATGCCTACGTACTTCCACACTGTGTGGAAGATCAGAGCGAACGTAGTTCGGGAAACTACGGGTTATCTCCTAAAAGAAATGTTTTTTATTGTGTTTGCGATTTCAACCGCACTAGAGACTATGACCTGAGAGTGAATGCGTCGCATGTCACCCAAAGGGTACCATACTAAACATCCCACCTCAGATAGCTTAAGGCTCGTAACGTACGAAAGAAATCATTCATGATTACTGTGTTTTAAACTGCTTCGAGATGAGAAGAGAACAGGCCCAACTAGGAGGGAGACTATCAAGTCCTACTGTTATCATGCCATGGACTCATCCTATGGTTGAGGTTTGAACAGGGAACTCCTAGATGTTGTCATGCATAGGTTTCAACCTAAAAGTCTATCATCAAATCCTCATCAGAGGAAATGAGAGTCCTAAGGGATCATGTCAATGATACACCAAAACAGACAAAGCATCAGCTTAACAGTAAAATGCATGCAATGCAAGTGAGGGAGGAAATGTGTGTGGGGCTTCAGCCTCCACAAGCTCGTCTCGACCTCAAGCCAGTCATGAAATAACAGTAATCATACTGAAAAATAACCCACATGCTATCAAGCAGTAAACAGTAAACTGCAATCATACAGATAAAAAAAAATGAAAATGCCATCAGGCAAAATAAACACATGGGCAAGGGAGCTGGGCTCTACCGAATACCCGCAAGCAAAGCCAAGCAATAACAATACAATCAGATGCACTCATGCTCTTAGACTGAACTTATTCTAAAGGTGCTTAGTCTAATGCAGCAGACAAGTCAGACAAAACACACAATACATCTAAGAAAACAGAAGAAAGCCTCAGCTCCTCCAGCAGCAACCCAGTCTTCAGACTTCAGAGATCACTTGCTTTCCAGGTATCAACCCTACAACATGAGTATCAACTCATCTTCTCCCTTGAGCTTCAGCTCCTTTGATCAGCTCCACCTTTAGGCTTCACTATCTTCAGGGATCTTCAGGCATCAACTTGATCTTCACAAAGTCTTCAGACTTCAACAGTCTTCAAGGAATCCTCCTTTTCAAGGTCTCAGCTTCTATCTTCAATGGCTCTAATGCTCCAGCAAACAAGATTCAGTCAACAAGATGAGGTGAGGATATTATAGTACTCACTGACTTCCAAAGGATGCCATGGAGAACTTAACATCAAAGGAGAGGCTCTCTCAAAGTTCTACCTTATAGGGCAAGGTCACTAATCCCTCCAAAGGAGAGAGGTGAATACCCTCAAGGGACTCTATGTCACAGAGAAGAAAGGAAGTGAACAAGACACTCCTTGTTTATTGAACAAAGTATTCTATCTAGGGCTCTGCCTATGCCCCTATAAACCTATAAACAAAACAATAAAAGCTATGCTAAACTCCTCTGCAAGGTCTTCAAAGCTTCCATGATGATCCACAAGGTCTTCAACTCAATCTTCAAAGCTCACACACTCAAAAGAGAGGGAAGAAAACACAACAATACAACTTATGCCTTTAAGCAACACACATACTATCCATACATTCAAAAATCAATGAAAAATACTAAAATACCATACAATATTCTAGCAAAATTCTAGGGGATTCTATACATACTTACCCTTAACCCATGTATTCCCCATACACTAATTTGGCCTATAAACCCCAAAACAAATTTGTTCAAGTCTACCTATACAACCTAAAACCCTAATTAGAGCACCTAAATGTCTAACCATCAAACTACATCAAATTTTAATCTAAAAATCAAGAATTAAATCCTATGGTGAACTATGATTCAATATCTAATTACACAAAAAAGAATGAATTAAAAAGATTAAAGGAAGGTCCTAAAACAAATTCTACAAAATCATGCACAAAATTAATCCTATTTTAAAAGCTATTTAAAAGAAAAATCTATTAAAATATGAAAAGAAAATAAAATGGACATTTTATTTATTTATATTTTTCTATACAAATTCACTAACATATGAAAAAAACAAGAATTAAAAAATATTAAATTTCCTATTTTTTATGAATTTTATAAAAGACAAACAATAAAAGAAATTAAAAAAAAATTAAAAGAATTCAATTAAGGGGGAGGGGGTGTGATAAGCAAGGGCGCCCCAGTTCAATATTCAATGGGCCAGAATATGGGGGGTGGGGATAGTGATTTGGATA